TGTTTTAGGTTTTATATTTCACCTTTTTTCAATGCATTGTTGAATTTTAACAAAAATATTAATCACTCTACAGGATGTTCACAGGATCTTAAAAAGTCTAAAATCCTTTTTTCTTAAATATGATTTTAAATCTGATTAATTCTTTTATTTATTTTTTATCTTTTAAAATAGATTTTATATTTACATTTTTAAGTTATGCTATGTTACTGGTATAATGTTACATTTCTCAGTTTCACTTTTAAATGTGTTTTTAGGAAAAATACATTTTGGTCGCGCTGTAAGTACAAAACAAAACTGACACAGAACCAATACTGATTTCCCTTCATATTCTATTCTTCTATAAGGTGCGTGTGGCTGCAGGTGAGCAATGATAGAAAGTCTTTGCCTTTTGCCTTTGTCGTAGTGTCTCTGGACAGCATTCTGCAGGACGTGAGAGCTCTGGAGAGAGGCATGGAGGTGACCAGGAGGGAGTTCTCCGTAGAAAAAGACAACCCGGTGCTGCAGACGTTCCTCAGCAGGAACACAGAGCTGCTCCACTCGCTCATAGCTGACGGAAAAACTGCCCAGGTCAGCTTTAATTACCCCAAAAATAAACCTTAAGCACATGAGATGTTCTTACTTCGAGAAGACAATGGTCATGTATTTCGACACTTTATTTGGGTCACGAGTTGAAGATGTTCTCTCTCTTCCAGGATGTGTACGACTCAGCTGTGGAGTACTTCGGAGAGAACTCTAAAACCACTCCGCCCTCCGTGTTCTTCCCTGTTTTTGTCAGGTTCATCAAAGCATACAAGGTCAGATAACGCAGGTTTTATTGACTGCTGGGCATGAATGAATGGACAGATGTCTGCTTCACTGATAAACAGCTATTACTGTATACTCGATACCTGACCTTCAGACGTAGATAAGAAGATACTAAAACCTGGGTTTTGTTCTTCTGACAGCAAGCTGAGCAGGAGAACGAGCAGAGGAAGAAACACGTCCTGAACTGCGAAACGCCGTCAACTCCACCTAAACCTGAAGTCACTGGGAACAAGGTAACACAATACAGTATAAGCAGCAACAGAAAACAACAAATAAGCTTGACTTCTCTCAGTAGCAGCCACTGAGGTGCCTCCTGCCAACTGCTGTATAGGAAGTTCCTGTTTACTGCGACGTAGATCTTATTTGGATAGTTTTGTCCAGAATTTTAATTGGTTATAACAACACTGTGCTCACCAAGTTAAAGGGGAACTTCAATATTTTTCTCCCTGAACTTTATTCTCCAATGTTTATGTGTCTAAGTGACTAATGGGGACAATTTTTGAAGTTGCTGCAACTTAGTCCTTCAGGGGAATTGTGTACACTCAAAGTACATCCGTTTTTGGCACTGAGCGGCTCAGTGTGACATTATGAAAAGGATCCCTATAAAGATAGACCTGTAGTTTAACTAGAAACAGACGTTATATCGTTCTGTTCAAAGCCACCAGACTCCACTGACAAAACCAGTCATTTTACCTCGCAGATATCGTAACACATTTTATTAAAACTTAACAAAAAGAAACTGCATTCAATTTCCTCATTTGAAACTTAGTACTTTACCTGTATTTAAACGTTATGTGTACGAAACTCACTCGCCACTAGATGTCGCACTAGAGCACCAGCATCTCAGACCAGAACAACGGGCACTACAGCCGACCAAACTCCATAAACCAAAGTGGTAATTTTAAACTTTACCCTTTTAAACTGGAGAGAAACCAAATAAAACTCAACAAAACCATCTTTGCACAGTCTGTCCAACAATCACCAACTCTGGTTTGTTCAAAATAAACAGAAAATAGGCGGAAAATGTGTCGCCTCTATGTAACGTTCAAAGTACCTCTGCACTTACCTTTACAAAAAAACAAAAACAACCTGCTCCCCAGTGTCCCCAACAACAGATTTCTGTGTACAGTTAAATAATATAATATGTAGAAATTAGCACAACAAGGTCAATGTGGTCCAGTCCAAGATGGCTGTAAGTGAAGGCTCAGACTGAAACACACAAGTGAAAGGGACTTACAGAAGTATTAATACACACACGCTGACTGAGGCCGGAGCAAATCAAGTTGGCTAAGCTGCAGGTTTGTTTACAACCTGTCTGATTGTCTGACTGCTCGTATTTCTTGCCCTGTGCTGTGTTATTATTACCCTCCGGAGCGGGGGGGAGAGTCTGTCACATGCTCTGCAGATTATAAAGCACTGTGAGGGGCATTTATGAGTTCTAATCTGAGCAATAGAAATAAAACTGGATGTTTTTTCATATGAGTAATAGCCAAGTCAAAAGTCCCAAAATAAGATCCGAGCTGTTAGAAAGCGAAACGATTCTGTTAAAGGTTTGACATCGACGCGTTTGATGTTTCAGGTTCCTGTGACGTCCAAACTGCCTCAGATGGATCTGATAGCGGAGCTGAAGAGGAGGCAGGTGTCTCCTCTGGTGAGGGAGGGGAAGGATGGAGCCATCGAGGACATCATCACAGGTACCCAGCACCCTGGAGACACACACACACACACACTCACTCACAGTCTGTTAGACAGTAACTCTACTGCGGTGGTTCCCAACCTGGGGGTCGGGACTCCCACTAGGGGTCACCAAAGCTTCACGGAGGGTTGCGAGGCCTTCTTGATTTTAAAGGGGTGTAAGAAAATTTTGTCATTGTTAAAATGATTTAAAAAATAGATAATAAAGACAGAAAACTGTATTTTAAGATCCCAGAAATATTAGGAAAACTCATCGCAGTATTAAAATATTATAAGCTAAGCTAACCACATTGTTACTTCCAGCTGTGTATGAAATGAACAGACATGATATCTTTTCATCTCATATTCAGAATGAAACTGTTTATTCCCCTTAATGTCAAACAATTCCTTAGAAGGGAACTCTGACTGTAATCTGCCTCCTTTCCTTATTCAAACTGCAGTTAACATTTCATCCTGTTCACTCTTTTAAGATCCTTTTTTCCTTCACTTCTCTCTTTCATTTGTCCTTGCTTCTCTTGTTTGTCTCTTCCTGTCCCTGCTGTCTCTCTGGTGTCTTCAGCTCTAAAGTCCGTGCCCTTCACGGCTCGTTCTGCCAAACGTTCCTCTCGTCTCTTCTGTGACTCCGTCTTCAGCGACGAGGTGACTGCTTAAAATCCCTCGGTGCTCCGTGGGTCTGTTTGTCTTCCGCTCTGCTGGTGTTTCCTTACAGGGAACAGAAGCTGCTCTTCTCTCAGTGCACCTGAAACACATTCAACAACATTCACATCTTTGTCTTTTATTGGGGAAACATCATATTACAGACTGACATATGATTATTCATTAACAATATTCTGGTACAGCTCATTTAATGTTCTGTATTTATTTATATGCAGCACAAAAATACCACCTTCTCTGGTCACAATATGTGCTATAAAACATCAGATATGGCCTCTAATCTCAGTTGCAGGTAGACAGACAGTAAATAATAAACTGCACAGATATTATTATTGTCTCCTATATAATATTCTCACTATAATGCAAATTTAAAAGTCACTGTCTGCTCATGAAAGAGGATTCTGGGAGCTGTTTACCGTCTTTATGCGCTGCGACAGAGTTTCCTCCAGAGACGTCGGGGTCTCTCTTCCAGCTCATTTCAAACTGTCAGCTCCTTTCATCCCTTCTTAAAAGCAGCACATTCATTGTTACTGAAAGTACAACAACAAAAAGTATTTTAAACTCAACGGCGAAGTACTCAGATTTATTTTTGATTTAACACCGATACAGTTCTGAGGCATCTTTTATAAAAATGTTCTTAGATTTATTCGTGAATTAGTGTCAAGATCATTACAGTGTGCTTACATTGGATTCATAAAAGATACCGTAGCATAAAAATCTTTGTTTACGCAGATTCAGAGGCCCAACTTAAATCTGAAATTAACTTCTCCATATACAATGCTAGCACAAATGAGGATATATGTTTATGTGACCTTTTTTTGCATTAAACTGTAACTTTCTGTTTTGGCCTTTTGTTCACGCCGCTTTGGGGCCTGAAAATACAAACTTTTGAAATAGTGCGATCCTCTGGAAATGCCGCCCTTACAGTTGCCATGTAAACTATTGAGGTTTTCAGCTTAATAAATAATACATTTGGATGCTTTATTGTCCAGAGTCACTCTGAGTAACAACCCCACTAAATTGACTGTAGAGAGAAAATTCTGTTTTCCAATGTGCAGTCGCCATCTTCTCTTCCTGTTTATAGGCGTCCATTACGGTGATGCACGCTGAAAAAACTAAAATATTGTGCTGCAGTGTTAAGATTTTACTTTTATTTGAACCAAATATGAAAAACAGCTCCAGACTAAAAGGGGGCGTCCACAAACTTTTGGCTACATTGCATATTTAAAATGGTTTTATGACTATAAACTGAAGCTTAATGTTACAACATAGATCTTTTGATGTCTTCATAACCAGGTAGTTCCTTACTGCGTGTGTGTTTGTCCTCAGATTTAAGGAACCAGCCGTACAGACGGACAGACGCCGGCCGACGCAGCGCCAAGTGGAAACCGGGACAACAGCTCCACGTGTCCTCAGACATCTCGCTCTGAAAGCTACACACCAAGACTGAAAGCTAGAAAAGCACAAAAGATCAGACGTTCAAACTCACCGTGGCAACGAGGTCGCTCTCTCGTGCATGTTTGAGAATGCAGAGGTGAAAATGCATGTTTCCAACAGACACAAACATCAATCTGAACAACTGAACACGGTCTGATACAGCGAGGCACCTTTCTGAATAAAGTATAAAGCTGGATGATTGTAGAAACGCTCTGTGATTTGAATAATCGAATGTTAAAGAGAGTGAATATTAGCGGCACTTGATGCTAACGACACTGGATGTCTTCTGAGCTCGTTAAGACAATTACACAGAAGAGTGCTTCATTAACGCGGCTCAGAGCGAGAAGTGACTCTCCAACGACGGACAGACCACTCGTAAATCATTTTGATAGCTTTCTTAAAAATGCTTAAAAAAAAAAAGACGTGATTTTTTAATTGGTTTTATTTTAAATAGAATATTAATCACCATCACTCTGTCCTCCAGTAGGTCTCTCAAAATTTAGATTTGTAATATATTTAAATTATTTTTAATACTGAAGTGTACGAATGAGGAACTTCTACTCTGCTTCTGCATTTCAACAAATAAAACATTTTATACCGTTTGTGATTCACTGTCTTCTTGCTTTTTAAGGGTCATTTGTACGACGTAATCAGGAGTCTGGAGTAATGGATTACATGTAACTGAGTTAAGTGATCAGGATACAAACAAGGTAACTAATACAAGAGTGCAGTTACAGAAAAACAGAGGTTAAAAATATTGTAAACAGGATTACAATTTTTCTTAAAAATACATACTTTTGTGTATTTGGTCATAAAGCCGAGTTTTAGACTAATTTAAATGTTGTCCTCAGGGTGGCGCTAGAGGAAAAGTCAGAGGATCAACAGTCAAAGGGATTCGTCGTCAGGCTTGGGGAGTAATAGATTACATGTAATAAGTCACGTAATCAGGATACAAAAAAAGTAACTAATCCTTTTGTTACAGAATAAATATTAGTTACATTTTGTAAAAAATAAGAGGGTGTATGACATTTACTAAAATATGCTAATTTAAAAAACATATCAGTCATTTCTAAAAAAACAATAAGTTAAATAAAAAAATGTAAATAAGTTTAATGAACCACATTTTATATTCAATATAACTGTTTTCCCTATAGTCGTTAACTAAGTAAGACTTAGTTTAAAACTTTTATTCTGAAGGTCAAAGCAAGTCTTTTGTTTCTTCTCTTCAAAGTTTGATAATATGTTGACATTTATTTCCACATCATTTGTCAGTTGAAAGACAATCTTCTGTTTTATGATTTTATCGTAAAATATTTAGAATTTGCTCATAAAATTACAACTTTATTCTTATGTCAAGATTATATTTTATAAAATTGGATTTATACAAAACTTTTTCATTTTTTTATGCAATTAAAACTAATAATTGGACTTTTCTTGTAAATTTACGGTGTAAAACGTCCTGTAGTATCTACATAATTCAGATTCGAACAGTTTCTGGAATTAAATATAAACACACACCTGCTGATTCTGAATGACAGATTCCTGAATATGTTTCTTTGGTCTTTAGAAATTAGTCAATTATAAACCTGTGTGTGTTTTAAAGGACCATCTGTTAGGACAACGTCCAACGTTGAATTTTAGAATTAATTTGCATCGAAAATGTCAAACTGTTGCCAGATGTTGGAAGGAATTACTTTTTGCTTCAAATGAAGAGGCGGCATATGCAGCCAAGCACAAACGCTGTTACACATAATGAAAACTGCAGCCGTTACATTTTCAACATTATCGCAACTTTCAGACGACTAAATGGAGTTTCACAGATGCAGACGAGGAATCTCAGAGGAACAGCTCATGAAAAAACACTGGAATCACAGCTTAGAGAGAAACCTTCATAAACACTGAACATGAAGTTTAAACCCTCAATGATGTACTTTTTTACTCTTTAGGGAATTTGGAGTTTATAAAATTGTGGCAGCTTCTGTGCTTGTCACCTTTGCGCTCTGCAGATCTTTAAAAATCGATCAAAACGGCAACTCTCAGGAGAAAGTTCTCTCTCATGAGGCCAATTATTCATCTACAGTCATTGTTTACGGTCCTACTCACATCTAATGTGGAAAAATAAAGTTATTACTGATGATTCAACAGGGATTGGAGCTGAACATCCTTAAATGGATTACGTCTAATCATTTTTAATCAACAAATTTACTGATTAAAGCTCCTCAAATGTGATGATTTTATGCATAAACACTGTCACATATTGTAGTTAACTGATTATTGATATATTAGACAGAATCAGGTATTTAAATACATCAGTTCTGGGACATTATAGCAGTTTTTAACTATTTGAGTGGATGTGACAAAAATGTGAGAAAGAGTTTAAGCCTGGTGTATTTTAAATTAGTAGATCAATACTTAAAAATATTGAACATATTTGCTGTAACTAATCACATAAATTAAACCTAATTCAAAAGTGAATTGTCAAAGTAATAACTATTTTAAGTATTTGTGATTTCCATTAACTAATTTTCTTTAAGTTGAATTTATATCATTATAAAAAATGTCCCCACAGCACTTAATTTATTTCAGTTTATTAATCATCATGAGCCCAAATGTGCATCCAAATAATTCTTAATGATCCCCAAAAAAGATTTGATGTTAGTCATATAAAAACACCAATTTAATTACAGCAGTAACGATTAGATTAAACTGAAATTCATTCTGGAGAAACTAATTGTAAGTTGTTTTTAATCATACATCAGCTGTTTTGACAGGAAATGTAATAATTTGCTTTAGTGGAAGAAAACCAAAGTAAATTCAGTGTAAGTTGTAATGTTTGTATAAAGAAAAATAATTGAAATTACTTTATTCAGATTTTGTTTACACATTTTAAACACATTTGGAGAAATGCTGTATGTGAGTGTAACATACTTACTGGTTTTAAGTTAAATTACCGTAAAACTTCTAATAATAGCCTGGGCGTTTAATTCCTTTAGCACAAAACTCTTACAGATGGAAATACTCTCTAACTGTGCTGTTTCTCTATTGGATTTATTTATTATTTATTATTTGTTTATTTGTC